ATATATATATATATATATATATATATATATATATATATATATATATATATATATATATATATATATATATATATTACTCAGAAAACAAACATGGCATGGTATTTTTAAATATGCAAATGAGTCAATAAATATGTGCACAGGGAGAGTCTCACTCCAGAATAAGCCCAAGTGTTGTAGTTTATCCAGGGACAAATTTAACCAATAAGTGAAGTAAACAGCTGCTTAGGGCCCCAGGAAATTTAACTTAACATAACAAAACTTAACTACCTAACTCATTGTTTTCTATCAGATTTTGTATGGTGAGGCTCTAACCAATACAATCTGAAAGTAATTATAACATCTATAGGCTAATTTCTATAACAACCCTAAATCATGGAGTAGTCCAGCAGGCAAACCAGGTAAAGATTTAGCTTAGAAATCTATTAAAATGGAGATATTGCATTAAGGTAAAACCTAGAGCAGGAGATTGAGTGATGTAAGAACAAAAAACAGCTGAATGACTGAATACAATATCAACAATACAAAGGGGGCATTTTAGGACTGTTTGGCCCCATGGCTGGAATTGCTTATAGGGCACCCAAATCACTGACTCCGCTCCTTAGTTTGTCCATCTGTGGGACGTGTGTGTGTGTGTGTGTTTGACTTACGCAGAGTACGTGCGAGTTCGTTTGGTGGGCAGCGGGCTTGGTAACTCCTTGGGAGGGAGTGCGGATCTGAAGGGGAACTGAAGAGACAGCGGTGCTGATCGCGGAGACCGCAGGGCCGGGTCCGGGTCCGCCATCGAGGATCTGTTCACCTGCTGGATCCAGAGACCTGTGAGAGAAACACTGTGCTGACTCACACATACAGAGCTTTACCTGCGTGTGTGTGTGTGTGTGTTTTCCCTGGTGAACTCTGCGTTTGTTTACAGATGTTCTGCGCGCGCACTTTGCTCTGTTGTTGTTTGCAGAGCTCAGTTTGTCCTGAGAGAAGAAGAGACGTGCAGAGAAACAGATTCAGCTCTGCACAAAGACTCAGTGTGTGTGTGTATGTGTGTGTGTGTGTGTGTGTGTGTGTGTGTGTATGTGTGTGTGTGTGTGTGTGCGTGTGCGTGTGCGTGTGCGCGTGTGTGTGTGTGTGTGTGATTTTACATTCAAGACGGTTTGTGCCCGGAGCGTGAGGGTTCAGCTCTGCACAACAGCCTGCTTTGTGTTGAGACGGGCCAGAAGAACAGACTGAACTGTTCTGAGGTCAGACTGAGCTGAACATCACTCGAGCTCAGGCTATATTTATCACTTCAGGACAGCATCCGCATCACGGTTCACTGTGTCTGCAGCAGGCATATGTATTGATGTATTATAAACATGCGTGCAACGACAAGAGCCCAGAGTCAATCCGGTGGCCCTGAGACACTTTAATCAACGCTGGGTTGTTTTAACTCAAATGCGGGGTCAAATAATGGACAAGCCCAACGGTTGGGTTTACAATTATATTTAAATCTATTCGAAAAAACAACCCAACTTGGGTTTGTTCATAATTAAGTCAGCGTTAAAATAACAAACAAATCTTACTGTACTCTGCATTCATTCATTCATTCATTCATTTATTCGTTCATTCATTCATTTGTTTGTTCGTTCATTCATTTATTAATTCGTTTATTTGTTCGTTCGTTCATTCATTCGATCGTTTATTAATTCATTTGTTTGTTTGTTCATTCGTTCATTCATTCGTTCATTCATTTGTTCATTCATTCGTTTAATTATTCATTTGTTTGTTCATTCGTTCATTCATTCGTTCATTCATTTGTTCATTCATTCATTCGTTTATTCATTCATTTGTTTGTTTGTTCATTCGTTCATTCATTTGTTCATTCATTCGTTTATTCATTCATTTGTTTTTCTTCATTCGTTCATTTGTTCATTCATTCATTCGTTTATTCATTCATTTGTTTGTTTGATCATTCGTTCATTTGTTCGTTCATTCGTTTGTTTGTTCATTCATTCGTTCGTTCATTTGTTTGTTTGTTATATGCACTATAAACATATCAAGTTTATCATTAGTCTGAAATATTTCTATTTGAGGAGGCTATATGATGTGCACTTACAGGCTGAACACTAGAAAAGATTCAAAATATACATACATATACAGTTGAAGTCAGAATTATTAGCCCCCTTTGAATTTATTTCAAGGAAATGTTCACAGTATGCCTGATAATATATATTTTTTGAGATAGTTCACTTAAAGTTAATGAACATTGTAAACATTGCATTCTAGTATATATATATATATATATATATATATATGTATATACATACAGTTGAAGTCAGAATTATTAGGCCCCCTTTGAATTTGTTTTTCTTTTTGAAATATTTCCCAAATGATGTTTAACAGAGCTAGTAAATTTTCACAGTGTGTCTGATAATATTTTTTCTTCTGGAGAAAGTCTTATTTGTTTTATTTCGGCTAGAATGACATTTTTTAAACACCATTTTAAGGTCAATATTATTAGCGCCTTTAAGCTATAT